ACCTCTTCGTCTGATAAGACACCTACCGTTACACGTGGCAACCTATTAAAGTCGACCGTTACCTCATTTAAGACCATTACGGCGCGACCGTTCAGTCTAAACATTTAATCGTTGACCGTTACGACCATTCACGTTCCTCCTGCCGCGGCTGTCTGCAAATTACTCGAAATTCACCAAGTGTCTTCACTTCGGAATACAGTCTACACTTCGGACAAATGACTCACCTCGATTACGTCGGTCAGGAGACCGAAGATGACCCTCCGAAGACAATAAACAACACCCTGCCGCCGACTTTTTACCGATTCGGGGTCTCTAAATGTCTAGCATGGCAACATCGATGACCATCACTCCGTATGCCCACCGATATTGGGGGCCTCTCTGTTATCATCCGATTCGGTAAAACACCATTAAGAGATTCCAAACATCACATTAAGGGGAAGATGACCATTGAACCGACGTGATTTTAACACCACCCCGGTCCAGGCGATGAACCGGACCGAACTACCGAAGACCGAAGTGGTCAGCATCTACCGAGGTCTACATAAACCGAGATCGCCACCTCCTTAAGCAGGTGACAAGGTGCCTACGCACAACCATCACGCTCCACAAGATCCGTCATCATTTATGTGGGACCCACTGCTCCAAACCGCCCACAAAAAGCTACTTTATCCAAAAAGTAGTACACAAATCCCAATGTATCAACTTCAAAAATTACTATAAATAGTGAACCCATTACATTTGTACAGGGATGGATCTCTCTCCGAACTAAAAAAAAAACATTATAATGCAACACGCAAAAGCCCATCACGGCTCTTCACCTCGGTTCACCTCGGACCGGGGCCATTGTTGAGTTATTTCTACATGCTTTACGTCCAAATCATTCATAATTCTCATCCTAATCACGTGTTACATCGTTGTTAAAAATCACATAACAACAATTATTATTATTATTATTATTATTATTATTATTATTATTATTATTATTATTATTTAGTGGCTTGGTGGACAAGTTAAGGTTTAGGGTTAGGAGCATTATATAAAGGACTCCCCCTCATTTTTTATCTTCAGTTGATTATTGAATTATAATAAGATTGGGTTGGTTTTTTTTTTCGTGCCTGAGATTGAGATCTCATTCATATCCTTCTCACTCGTACGTTTTTCCTACATCATTTGGTATCAGAAGTCAGTACGATTCGTGATGCCGTCGAGACGACAAGATGCTGCAAACGAACGAAGTGATGCAACCTTCAATGATCGGTTTCAACAGATCGACTACCGATTTCAACAATTGGACGTGCGTTTCACGGATTGGTTTGCCGATATTTCGACAGGGATCGAGGATTTGCGTTTGTCGCTTAACAACATGATTGTTTTGGAATTACAGATGAACCGCGAAGGAGTTGTGGGCCGTGGCAATCGCGGGGGAGACAGAGGCGGACGCAGCCATGTCGGGGCACCCCGGCAGCGATCCCCGACACCTCTGAACGGCAACGATGTTGGCGATTTTGGGGCTCAACAGGATCCAAATGCGTTTTATTGGCATGTGAAGGAGATGCAGAAACTAGACCTGTGCAGAGGGAATTTGGTCGTGATGTTGGTCGATGGGAGGGCCTGTTTCGCGTGGACATCCTCAAATTCGACGAAGAGCAAGATGACAGGCCATTGTACGATGGTCCGCCTGTGTTTGATGAAGGACCCGAAGAGGTGGAGGAGCGTCTTACCGACGAAGTGGACAATCTCTACGACGGTCCGCCGATTTTCGATGATGAGCCTCCGGGGTTAGAGGAATTCTATCATGTGCCGGTTATCACAATTCAGCTGCTGGAAGAATTGGTAGTTCTTCTGTTGCGCAAGCCCGAGCTTTTCTCCCACGGGAATTTGTTGCCAACTTGCAAACAGATGCTGTTTTTTGTCCCCACGGTGACTTTAATATTTTGTGCGTGGCTATTGCATATATGTCTTTCCATGAATTTCAAGGGGGTGATACCATGGAGGTGACATTCAACCTTCGTGTTTGACCGGGAGAAACGACGGGGGTTTTCTACCATGGATTCCACACCACACTACGACCACGGGAGCGCATCGGCTTCGAGGGCGACGCCTTCCAAACCGAAAGAGAATGGTGTATATTATTATTATATTATTATTATTATTATTATTATTATTATTATTATTATTATTATTATTATTATTATTATTATTATTATTTAGTGGCTTGGTGG